ATAAAGAATATTCTTATTAATTATGTTTAAATATGTTAATTATTAACAATACACTATGCATAAACAAGAATACTTATTATGACAAATTACATTTTGGGATTCATATCCTTTTTGTAAAAATACAAAACAGGTTTAACTGATTTCTATAAAATAAATTATTCAACTTGTTAAGAATGATTTAAATGAAGTTACTTTAATATTAAATGTACTAATAAAAATGTAACATGCACTATTTTAATTAGTATACGAAATTTATTAAAAAAGAATCAAATAAATGCTCCAGAATTATATTATATGTTATTTAAAAAAATGAGACTCAGCCTTCATTGTATTGAATTGCAAATATTCTTGCTTATAATATTATTTCACTGATGATTCATTTGACGTAAATATTCTGGTGTATGGTAATGCTGTTGTTGTGCATGAGCAAGTGAAGGATGAATCGGGGGTGGAAAGCATCGAACATGTTCAACACTTGTTGCATCACTATCTCCGCTCTTCAAATATTTATTTAGTACAGCAAAAATTTGTGAATTTAATACTTGAAATCTCCTAATCCGATCCACCATCCTTTTTAAGTGCTATTCAATATGAACAAAATGATTGAATATTTATAAATAATTAAAAAAAACTATGAATAGTGAAATATAACTTATGATTAAATACTTACTATTCCTTTAACATTTTCATCTTTACCATCAACACGTTGTACTCTTAAAATATGATAACAAAAATCAAGTGCTTCAAATCTCCTCTGTTGGCCGAGTAATACTATCATAGCGCATCCAGCCCAATGTAATCCTTCTCCAAACAATTCTCTGTAATGAGAATGATATTAAATGGTACCTATGCATACTGTATTATTAAAAATTCAATTTTATACATATTACTAACTCAACAGTAAACTCTGTTTCTCCAACGGGAATACAATATACAAATTGTAATGCACTCCATAATCTGTGAAATTCTGTGCATTCATCGACATTCATTACTCCATTTACAGGTGGAGGACCAACCCAAATAGGATCATCTAAGAAACTACGTAGTCTACTGAGTACTACTTCAAATATTGACAAACCGCAACAAAGACGTTCTCGTGTTAATAAGTCTCCTTCTCTGGCAATCATTGCTTGCTAAACGATTGAAATAATTAAAACCTATTTTAATATTTTATATCTACGTTATATAACTAAATATATTATGTATTTATATCATTTCTACATGTTTAAAAATGCCTTTTTTATTACTTACCTTAGCTGTACCTAAATTGTCTACATTTGGAACGATTTGTAAAGCTGCATATTTAGCTTCCAGTCGTTTTTGTTTAGTTTCTGGTTTTTCACCCTCTAAAATTGAAATTATTGTAATATTTTCAACAATAACATTGTTATTAAAACAACTTAAAGTACCTTAAATTACCTTTGCAATATGGTCTAGGTAATATGTTTTGAAATGGTGCTGCATGTAATAAATCGCAGACTTCTTCTTGTGATAAAGCTTGTTCCATTAAAAGGCAGAATAAAATTGTATTACCGAATTCGCGAAAATTATGAAAAAGTTCAGTTTTGGCATCCGGATATTGAACAATGTCATTTAATTGAGCATGATAATACCCCAAAACTCCTGGAGATCCATAATCATATCTTGGAAGTTTACAGACTTTTGGCATAGCTTCCATTAATGTCTTAGTAAATTGATGTAAACTTCCTTGAATTAGAGACTTGACGATTTTTAGAAGTTCTTCCATTACTACTGCAATACCTTGATATCCTAGAAGTTTACACATTGTACGGAAATGTTGTGGACCAACAAATCCTGAATATTGCCCATATTGTGTACTATACGCTAAATTTAATTGTTTACTTCCCCATAGATAATGATGAGACATTTGTGAAGGTTTGTCTCTATGTACTGGTTGTACAAATTGTAGACCACGACATTTTACAAATCTATTATAAACATATTTTAATTTTAGTATAAACAATCACTAATTTTGTATGCATAAATACAATTATTTTTTATTCTCATTGCTTGTAATTTATTAAGAAATTTATTTTATTCTACACATAATTGTAATACCTATTTGTTGCTGCATTATAGCAATAATTTGGTAGAAAGTCATAATTTAGCTCCCAAAATACATGAAGTGTAATTCTTCCATATGGTGCTAAAACATTATGATTTGCTTCACGAAACATAGCGTCATATTCATCTAGTGCAAGCCATTTACTTAAAAGTTTATGAGTAAGACGATTGACTTGTAAAAGTCCCTCCAGTTCCTGAAGTACATAAAATATTTAGGCATTAAAATATCTAACAAGTTTAAATTAAGAACAAATGTGAAATTATTGAATCAAGCTTTCACTTACCACAACTCCTGTGATGTCACCAGATTCAAATTTGCTAATTGCTAAATCTAACGATTTCTGCATATCTTTATTAATACGTTGTGTAATTAATTTATTCAAATCAATACTTCTTCCAAGTAATTGAACATGCCTTTGTTTTAGTAAAGTTTCGTATCTGTTAGCGCGAGGATAAGGAAGTAAATATGCTCCTAATGCAACACATTCTACTCGAAATCTTTTATCTAATAGTATACTTGCAGCTAACTGTTTATAGTGAGCAAAAATTTGCTCGCTAAGCTTATAAACAAACTGATCAAAGCACAAGTTTACTTCAGCTTCTACTTCATCATAAAGAAACTGTTTACGAAATATAGTTAGAGCATATAATGCACTATCATTGTATAAATCAAGTGGATATAAAACGTACCTAAAAACCAAATATTTTATTGAATTAATAAACTAAAAAATAATTTTCAAAATTATGAATATATTTTTCTTTTACTTACTCCATCATTGATGGTTCTTTGCTTCGTAGTATATGTTCAGTCAATATCCATGGCATAGACATCTCAATAGGAAACTGAAAAATGTATTAATAAATTTTGAAATCTATATAAAACAACTTCATTATTGTTATAATACAGTATATTTTATTAATTAAAAAGTTGCAAAATAATATTAGTGAAATAATAAAATAACTGCAAAATACAATTGTATACTTATAATTTTACTAAACAATTACCCTTAAATAGGTATACATTGATTTCATCACTTAATATTCGCTATTTGTACAATAATAAGCTCATAAAAATTGTTGCTTGTAAAATAATACAATTTTTAAGTTTATTATTTATCAAATATTCTTCTTTTGATTATATGTATATTATAGATAGATAAATATTAAATTTACAAAAC